CATAATGAAATATATATACTTAAAGTCCATCGACTGTTTTGTAAGATACATTTTTTAATATATCTTAATGTTCTTCTTCTCCTTAAACAGCATGTCTGTGATAACTAGCAGTGTGTCAACGATATCGATGGACTCCTCTGGACCACTCACGACTTGTTCTCAAGATACATCAGCTGAGAGAGATACGCAACAAACTGTTACTTCACAGGACAAGTGAGTTACACAGGATTCTTATGAAATTCTTATGGGTGAACGAGTTGCACATAGAAAGGAACGATCTACTCTTGAAGGCAAAAATTCATAAGCAATTCCAATAACAAAAACATAATGTACATAAAGTTGTAGCTCACGGCACCGATGCTTAATGCGTAAAGGAAGGGTTGAAGTACAAAAAATTTTCAATAATTTTACTGGAAAAAAACGAAAAACAAAGAGAAATACAGCAAAAGAACATTTGATTATTGTAGTGTGCTTTCAGTATCGTTTACGCGACATACCTGATGTACAAAGGTTATTGGTATTGTTATAAAAAGAAGGTGTAGTTTGTGTGGTTTTGATTATCCATTCAGATCGGTTTCGATACGAGATTGAGACACGACATAACGACTGCTCCTTTTTTTTAAATTTTTTCGTGTTCACAGTGCATCAGTTGGTGAAACATCCTACGAGAGAGAGACATATGAAGAGATGGCCGCCATTGAAGAAGAGGCGATTGAGGATTTAAAAGATAACAAGAATCAAGGGTGAGTTTAAATTAGAGTTGAAGAGGAGAGAGCTTTTTTTTCGTAAATCCATACCATTAATCAACCATAGACTGTGGTGATTAGAAGTGAAATGGAACAATGTACAGGAGAACGGCACTTGTTGGTGGAGGACATATATTAGGAGGGAAATGCTCGAAGACGGGGCGTGCAGTTGACTAGGGATCAAATTGATATGATATCTAACAAATTATGTGATTCTATCTATAGTTGTCTTTCATTCTTGCTCTTTTATTCACCCTTACTGCTGTCTTTAAGGTGTCAAGTCTAAAAATGAACACCACTGTTTTTGTTGTGTTCTTAGGCAAAATGTGTTTCGAATGGCAGCGGATAGTCTCATCAGAAACTGGCAACGGCGTTCTAGGAAATGGCGTGGATCAACAGAGGAACCTTTCAAACGCGAAAGTTTGAGTGAAAATGATGGGAGAGCAAAGGAAAACGAAACAAACGAAAATGAAAATAAACACTATGCACCTGCTGAAGGCCAAAATGAGGACGAAAATACAAATGTGAGCTTAGATGATAAAGACGTTAGAGTGAGTGGAACACCACCGTGCACTCCATTTAGAAAAAATGCTGTTGTGTCTCGTGCGAGACCTCGTCCAGTTTCTTTAGGATATTTGTCGACTAATGATCAATTAAAAGAGCATCAGCAGAGAATCAAGGGCAAGGTGTTATCGGACCCTAGTTTAGCAAAGGATGATGATTCACTTGAGTGTACAGGAGATGTGTGGATACCAAGGAGCCAAACACTTTCATCAAAAAGGAGGCCATCTGATAATTTTCGAAGGTCAGTTTGCTCTAGTGTGGTGTCAGGAGACTCATCGCCCTCAACGGGAAGCAAGAAGAGCTTATCGCGAATTTCCCAAGAAAGTCTGGCAGATTCTGGACTTTCTGAAACACCCGGGAGTTCACCATCAAACACACTAAACAACAGAACTCAAAAAATCTTAAAAGAGAAAAGAGACAAGCTTAGTAGTTCATCGCTCACCAATGTTTCGGTAACAAATGAACCTAAACGTAAACT